GAACTTAGTTCAGGGAGTGGCGAAGACTTTAACTTACACACAGTGCTGCTGTACCGTACCATCCGCCTTCGGTCCGGTACCAGCAGAGCTGAGTAATATTCTCTGTGTGTGTGTGTGTGTGTGTGTGTGTGTGTGTGTGTGTGTGTGTGTGTACATATAAACGTATAAATATCACATCATCTTTATCCATTTACCTGTTGATGGACACCTAGGTTGCTTCCACGTCTTGGCTATGGTACATATTGCTGCTATGAACATTGGGCTGCATGGATCTTTTCAAATTAGAGTTTTTGTCTTTTTCTAGATATACTCCCAGGAGTGGGATTGCTGGGTCATATGGTGACTTTATTTTTAGTTTTCTGAAGAACCTCCATACTGCTCTTCGTAGTGACTGCACCAATATACATTCTCACCAACACTGTAGGAGGGTTCCTTTTTCTCCACACTCCCTCCAGCATTTATTTGTAGACTTTTTGATTATAACCATTCTGACTGGTGTGAGGTGATACCTCATTGTAGTTTCGATTTGCATTTCTCTAATAATTAGTGGTGGTGAGCATATTTTCATATGCCTGTTGGCTATCTGTATGTCTTCTTTGAAGAAATGTTTGTTTAGGTCTTCTGCTTATTTTTTCCTTTTTTGAGGGGTGTGGCAGTTAATCAGCAAAGGGTGTGAGGGTATTGGGAAGGGCACAAAATATGGAACGTTTCATGAATTTCCATGTCATCCTTGTGCAGGGGCCATGGTAATCTCCTCTGTATCGTTCCAATTTTAGTATATGTGCTGCTGAAGTGAGCACTTCTGCACATTTTTTGATTGGGTTGTTTGGTTTTTTTTTTTTTTTTATATTGAGCTGTATGAGCTGTTTGTATGTTTTGAAAATTAAGTCCTTGTCGGTCACATTGTTTGCAAATATTTTCTCCCATTCCATAGGTTGTATTTTACTTATGAAATTTAAATTGTATATAATTTTCACCTGTCACACAACATTCTTTTTTGATTTTTTTTCAATCATTTAAAAATGTTTAAAACATCATTCTTAGCTCACAGGCTGTACTAAAGCAGGCAGCAGGCTACATTTGGACCACAGGACAGTTTGCAGTTGCCTTCCAAAAACAACAGATCTTGAGAATGATAAAACTGGTAAATTATGTTTAGTGGAAGACAGTCACCTTATAAGTATAGAAAAATCAATTCTATGATAATGTATATGAAGCATTTTAATTATAGAAAGAATTGGCTCTACTGGTTCAGGTATTTGCCAATATTTAAGTCACAAACTTAAAGTGGCTTCATTCTTTCATTCATTCGTTTAACAAATATTTATTAAATGTCCAGTAGGTCCCACGCACTGTACAATGGATGTACTAAGACAAAACAGCAAACATTCTACAAATTCATTCCTAGAACATTTTTTAAAAACTACTATATAATATTGCTTTAATCTTCTTGGGATTTTAAATTTTTTTGATTAAACTTTTTTAATTTACAGAAATATCTGTCTTTTTTTAAAATTCATCCAACCCAAGCTGTACAAAACTACAGTCAATGATTAACAAGAAGAGAAGGTGTTAGCCCAAATCAAAGGTATCACTGACTTAAGCAAAACGAAGAGCTTCTAACATGAATGACAATGAAACCTAATATTCAAATGAGATGGGAAGACAGTTCATGTTTTATCATGAGCATCAGAGATGGTTTAATTAGAAATAACTATAATAGTTTCAGCTGAGTAAAAGATACTTTATATTACCTCCCCATCTCTAGTATCATGAAATTAATTTTTAGAATCAGTGATTAAGTGTAAGTTTCTACCCTTCAGGAAAATAATGGTCACAATGCACTAATCTTCTGCAAATCAGGAATTGGGGCACTGTAGCCAAAATCCGATTACCAAAGTGTATTCACTGACTGTCTCTTAATTAACTGACTAAGAAAATGAGTCTGTTCTGAGTGCTTTTGAATATGTTTGTATGTTTGGGTGTAGCTTTGACATTCATCACTGTTCTGTCTATAATAGAAATTAGAAACAGCTTAAATATCCATCAGGAAAGGAATATATATATTATATATATATAAGGAATTTTATATATATATATAATATATATATATAAATTTGTGTAATATATATTATATGGTATGGAATATGACCATTACAAAAGATTATTCTATCTCAACAGTCATTACTGAAAAAAGATGCCTACTCTATGTTAGTTTTTTCTTTTTTTTTTTCTTTCTTTTTTTTTTTTTTTTTTTGTGGGGAGGTAATTTGGTTTGGTTTGGTTTGGTTTTTTAATGTATTTACTTTAATGGAGGTACTGGGGATTGAACCCAGGACCTCATGCACGTTAAGCACGTGCTCTACCACTGAGCTATACCCTCCCTCCTAAAGATTTTTTTTAAGCAGTTTATAAAACAGCATTTAGTACAACGTTATTTACATAAGGTCACATATATCAGGATGCTAATCAAAAACTTTTAAATGATTATTTCTAGATGACCACAGTTTGGGTCATTTGATTTTTACTGTCTTCTTTTCATTTTCTCTATTGTTTGAATTTGTTTTTTAGGAATGTATGGGCTATTTGTTCAATCCTTAATAAACAAATAAAGTTTTTTGGTAATCTATAAGATTAAAATTGAGCGAGATTTTTATGATTAATTAACAAATCATAAGATTTATGATATGTAAATGATCATTTCAGTAGCAAAAATAGTGACAAGTACATAGAACTTGTCAGGGATGGCAAGCTTTAACTCACACAGTGGATTTACCATAGCTATTGAAATTTACCCTTAACGTGAACTTTCTGAGAACACCAATCTATTCCCACCATTCTGCTCTCAGCAACACTCTTTTATTCGAAAATTTAGAAGAATATTGTGAGCCTTGCCTTCTTCTTTTATTGCTTTCTAGAAGCTCAGCATCCCAGCATTGAGAAGTTAAGAGATCAAGCCCATATCACTCATCCTACAAATAAATGAAGGAACTGTGACAGGGAGGTGACATGACCTGCCCAACACCCTACAGCTAAAGCTTGTCAACACAATCTCTTTCACTATCTTGTCAGTCACAAAAAGTTGTATACATTAAATAGTATAGCTTTTAAAAGTATGTAATTATATCTCAATAAAGTGGTTTAAAAATAAACAAATAAAGTGATCTCAACTCCATCATCAAACTTCCTTGGTCTTCCAGAACTCCCACATAAACCCAAACCAAGCTTGAATTGGGATTTGTTAGTGTCCTGGTGTGCATGTATTCATAGAGCTCTGGAATGTGCAAGGCTGTAAGGACAGGCAGTGGGAAGACCGAAGCATGCATCTGTGATGCTGATCTGGCAAAAGGTGCAGAGGTGTGTTGACATGAGGGATCTTAGAGGCAGGAAGTTTTAGGAGAAAGAAGTATTTATGTGTTATCCAGATGTCCTAAAAACCCTGATAATGTTTTTACTGTGCATCCATAGAGGGACTCAGATGTAGCATTTGCAGCCTTTTATCACTGAAGAGGTGACTTTTGAAAATAAAGGAGTAAATATAATTCCATAGTGTATGAAGAGGAGAGAACATAAATTTAGAGACTGGGTGAGGGAAAATATAGAGTAAAAAGTTATTTTAAAAACACTAATAGCTATAATCTACTACCATTTTACATAAACTACCACCACAAACTTTCATTATAACCCACAAACCTTGGCTCTTCAATTAAGGCTACACTGACTCCCTGACAAGACAGGACAGAGCAGTAAGAGGAGAGCTTTGAACATCACATCGCTGATGGTGATGGGGAAGAAAATGCTAAAAGGAAGGTTATTCCTGCCAAGTGGTGCTCTGGAGTTTAGAAAGAGGAAGACTGTGAAAAGCCATTGGATATGGTGCTTGGGCCTTTTCAATATCCTTTCAGAGTTTTATTTATTCTCCCTCCTGTCTTGTTATTGTGAAATCTGACCTTACTTGACTAACTGATTTTAATTACTAGGACTGAACTGATTCTACAGTAAGTGTACTATCCTCTAGAAGTAAATGATTCATCTGTATGAGGTAAAGGAAATTTTCTAGGAAGGCAAGTTGCTATTTAGCAAATGCCTTCAGCTTATCAGAGCAGTGGTAATCATTTATTCATAAATATTAATTCATTCCTGCAGTCACACCAATCTATAAAGTCTGTAAACATGCTTTGTAAACCCTTCCTCGTTCCTTCCCTCTCTTCAATCCCTACCTTTGTGCTTAAAGCTATTACAGGTATTCTGCAGAAAAGTGCGGTTAAAATAATCAACCACTGCAAATGGGATGTGACTCTGGCGTGTTTCCCTGAAGTCAGACTAGCTCTTAACTACTTTTGTCATAAGAAGTTTGTATTCATGTACTTGTAAACTTGGTACAATTATTTACCTTCAAGTGTTTTAGTCATTCCCATTGTCCTGCTTTTCTCTGAGTTTCTGATCACACTCACTCACTCTATTAGACCATTCTCATAATTGTAACATCTTCCACATCCACATATAGGTTAGTGATTACACTTTTTCTCAAAGTGTAATCTACTGACAATATGCCCTAGATCAGCAATGTCCAATAGAAACAGAATGCAAGCGATATAATTTAAAATTTTCTAGTTACTACATTAAAAAAATTAAAAGAAAAAGATAAATTTTCGTAATATATTATATTTAACCCAATAAATCTAAAATACTATCATTTCCACATTGAATCAATCTTTTTAAATTGTTAAGGGGATGTTTTACATGTTTTTGTACTAAATTTTCAAAATTCAGTATGTATTTTATGCCTACAGCACATTTCAATTCGAGCTAGTCACATTTTGTGTGCTCAGTAGCCACATGTGGCTAGAGGCCGCCATATTGGACAGTACGGGTCTAGATCCTGAATAAAGATATTAAATGAGATCAGACTTTTAGCTGAGCCTTCCGTTAAGGTCCTCTCCCTCATCTCACCACCACAACCACAACTACATCAATTTAGAAATACAGTTCTTTCTCAGGCCAATCTTTCCAACTAAATAGGAACTATGTCTTAAACATTCCTGCAATCTCTCTCCTATTTCCATTCTCCCATATCTGCAAACCTTTCATTTCATAAATGGGAAATGGTGCCCAGGGAGGCTGATAATTGACCCAAGGTCAAATAGTGGGTAGAATCTAAATTCAGTCTTACTGATGACCAGAGCAGCACGCTTTTGACTTCCTTAAGCACTCAAATATTCGCCTTCCCCTTATTTCTGCTTTAGAGTTCAGTCACTTTTCTGTTTAGACTCTCCAAAAAGAAAGAGTTGATGGGTTTTTTTTCCTTTTTTTAACTTTTTTTTTATTGAGTTATAGTCATTTTACAATGTTGAAGAGTTGATCTTACTTATCCTTCTTCTTGGACATTAAATTTAGAGGCCAAAACTAAACTGATCCTCCAAGCACAATAGATGGATTTAGGGATTGCTCACTGGTAGCTGAGACCTTGCAACGTCCCTTTTCAGTTCTTTAAACATGAAGCTAATAAACCTTCCACCTGGGAAAGGAAAAGAGGTTACTGACTAGCTGACTTTCCGACTAAATATTCTGCTATATGAATTCATTTACACTCAGAAGACTAGAAGATTAGATTCCAAAATGTTATTATGGTACTCTCTCTAGGTGTCACTAGCAATTTGTTATTGTTGTTTATTAGTGGTTTGGGATTTTTCTGCAATGAATACATGTACTATTTTTGTGCAAATAAATAATACATGTTAATAATAAATGAATGGTCTGATCATCCAGCCCTGGTTTAATTTTCCCAGTTCTACAAATTAAAGCTTTTTTTAAAAAAAAAAATCACTTCAGATTTCAGATAATCATCTATATATTTTCCAGGGGTAGAAATGGAGACACAATGCAGTCTGAGGCCCCACTGTATAAAAATCATTCATCAATATAAAATGACTTAACAGTAATTCATGTTGAGAACCAAGACTATTCCATTTAAATTTCTATCCGTGCAGAGCACGACAACACTTGATCCCTTTGGCAGCAATGCTCAGGGTAACCATTTGTTGACCTCTCCTTTTCTCAACTATCGGGAAAAAAAAAAAAAAAAAGAAGACAAAGCAGGAGGAGGAGGGAGAACTAGGAGGAGGAGGAGAGAGAGGGAGGGGTGGGGAGGAGGAGAAGAAGAAAAATAAAAACAAGATAGGCTACAGTAAGTTCCTAATATTATAAAGCCAAAGAAATTGAGAAAGAGCACATTTCATGTATTTTTTAAAAATATTCTTGTCTTAGGTAACTTTAAAGCCTTTTTATTAATCATTTTTAATGGACAAAAAAGTAAGATTCTCACACATATTAGTCTGTCTGGAATGATTCATACTTTAGCTTTCAACATACAATGTGGAAGTGGCAAAAGGAGAAGACTTTGTATTTTCCTAAGATTTTCATGTTCACATTCCATGCTATAAGCCTGCATGTCCAGATAGTACTTACAATTTGTAATTTTTTTTGGTATAGATGCACTATTTGGCACTATTTGGTTTAGTACAAAACACACAGCTACATTAAAATAGCTACATTACTGTTTCAGTTAAATTCCACAATATTTTAGGTTCACTAGCAGAGTTTACAAAATAAAGGAATAAATGTTCTTGTAATTCAAGTTGAAAAGACCAGGTTTATAGTTTTGTGTGTTTAGATGTACACTGCATTTCTTCTAAAATAGGGATATACCTATAGTTTAGAAAATGCATAAAAGACACCAAAAAAATAACCTTTGTAGCCATGGGATCAGTCTTTTGGTTTCTCAATAAACTGGTGTTTATAGATACTTATTTCGCTCTTTCTGTTTGGGGAAGGGGGTGGGGAGGTGGAAACTGAAGGATTTGCAATTAACATAAGAACTTAGTGTTCTTGATAAGAAACCTTGAAGATCACACAGTCCAACCTCTTTCTTCACTTCAGAGGAGACAGTAAGCCTTTTGATTTCAGAGTAGACTTTGCACTACCATGACAGTGTTCTCCAGTTTGTTAGGTTGTGAAACTCCTAGAAGTCAATTTTTTTGTGGAAATCTATTAAAATGTTGATATATTTGTCTTCCCTGGGGACCAAAACTTTTACTAACAAAAAAATATGATTCTATTATATTTATATGTTATATTCAACTTCGACTATGCCCGGGGGGAATATGTTAAACTGAACACAGTGAGTTATTTCAGAGGTTTTCTATTAACATCTGTACACTACCTACACATTTGGTTTCCTCTGCTCATCAGCAAATAAGCAGTGTAAGATTGCAAAGGTTTAAGAAAAATTTAAAGAGAGCATGAACGTAAATGTAGAAATTCCAAGTTTATTATCTTTTTTTCTAAAACTAAGAGACCATACAAATATCTAATCATTACATT